TTCATTTGTGAATATCAAATGTTTCATTACAATTAACATACTAAATGAATATGTAATTCCACCAAAAGAAAAAGAAAAAAAGGATTTCTTTATCCTATTAGCTTGAAAATGGCCAAATGTCAAACCAGCAGTTATGGCCATAGGTCTTAGTATTTTTCCAGATCTCAAAAAGATTTTTCAATCATTAAGTTAAAAAAGTAAAAAGCAAAGAAGGTTTCATACATGGAATTTCTAGCTATATTAGTGAGAAAATGTACATGTCTTCAGATAAAACAATCCAGGCATATTTTATTACTACTAAATAATAAATGCATAAGAGGAATTCTTTGGTAAAATAAAGGCTGAATTATGCAAGCAAAATAGAATGACTTTTGTAATATTGTTTATATTTTTTCAGAGTTGTGGGCCAACTAGAGATTTAAAGGGGGAAGTTTTAATGTTAGTGCTGATGTATAGGTCATGGGATTAAGTATAGATGCTTGATTTCTTTGTTTTTTATTGTTTTGTTTTGTTTTTATGGTGCTGGGGATTAAACCCAGGGCCTCTGGCATTCTGAGCAGCTGTGCTCAGAATGTGCTGCCACTAAACTATGCCCCCAGGCCAACTTGGGGCATGAATGTGATCTCTCCTACTCCACCAACTCTGGAGGGCCAGTGTCCCAAATTAAAATACAAGAGCCAGTACCTTAAAACTATGTCCAAAAAAATGAAAAACTGTCTAAAATTTATTTGTAATTTAATTCCTTTTATCTACCATGCTTTTCTTGTTCTTTCTTTTTTCTTCCGTGTTTTTTTGTTGGTACATTATAGTTGAACATTACTGATGGGATTTGTTGTTACATATTCATACATGCACACAGTATAACAATATAATTTGGCCAATATCACTCCCCAGCACTTTCCTCTTTCCTCCCCACCTACTTTCTTGGTTTTGAAATATGTACGTGTAGTCATTCTTCATAATCAATATACTAAAACTTGTAATTTTGTCAGGCCTTTAAAAGCCTAGGGATCCAGATGTAAGCATCAACCACCATGGGTTTCTCCATTGGCCCAGTTCCCCCATTTTGTGCCTCAATTTTGTCTACATACTTAATATCTTTTTTTTTCTTACCCTACATGATATTAACATCATCTCCTAATAGATCTTTTTTACCCCTTCATATGACGTAAAGCACCTCAAGAATATTTGGCGTGGTGATCCATGCCTGTAATTCCAGCAGCTCAGGAGACTGAGGCAGGAGGAGTGCGAGTTCAAAGCCAGCCTCAGCAAAAGAAAGGCACTAAACAGTCAGTGAGACCCTGTCTCTAAATAAAATACAAAACAGGGCTGGGGATGTGGCTCAGTGATCAAGCGCCCTGAGTTCAATCCCCAACACACATACACACACACATTAAAAAAAAAAAAAAAAAGAATATTTGGCTTTATTTCCCTAGTGTCTGACATCAATAGGAGCTTAGTAAATGTATGCTGAATAAAATCCAACTAGCCCCCAATAAAATGTGTCTTCTTGCAGTGTGGTGTCCTACATCAGTGTCCTCAGACTATAGCTGTCACGCAAGCCATGAATCCTGGATGACATATTGAGTCAGTAGTCAGGAGGAGGATCTTTTTCTGCATCCCTCTAGTCCAGGAATGTAGTGGTAGGATAAAAATCTAACAGTAAATATCATGGATTGGGTTGGGGGGTGGATAGAAGAAAAAGGAAACTGAACTGCAAATAAAACAAGTAAACAATTTATTTCCCTATTTTATCTTTTGAAATAGGCTCCAATAGCCCATTCCAATATCTTTATATTTCCTTAGTGATTTTAAAGTTTGTGAATTCATTTTTAAATGATAGAGGAAGGTGCAGTCTCAATCTTCAGAGTTCCTTCAACAACTTTATAATTTCTACTTTGCATACAAAGTAAGCACAGTATGACAAATCCCACCAAAATAATGTCTTTACCTGTGTATATTAGAAACTGGAAATATGAAGATCTTGCAAAAAAAAAAAAAGAGTGGGGGAGGAACAATGTCAGGGAGACAAAGGTAGGAAGGATTTGGGGAAAATGAAGGAAATTCTCATTTTTTTCTTATGGAGTTTTAACAAGTGATAAAGCTTCAAGGATGGTCATGAATTCCTGTGATACACTGGGAAAAGTAGTAAACTGAGAGTTTAAACAATTTACTTTCTTCAGTTTTTACCATGCGAAAGCTGTGTGATCTTGGGAAGATCATTTAACCTCATTTTCTTGCCTATAAAATGAGCACGTAAGCATACCTATGAGGTGGGGGACAGGCAGAACATATTAACACATTTACATAAAAGCTCTTTATAACGGGAGGAAGTTAAAAGGAAAATAAATCTTGTCACCACAGAAGTTAAAATAAGGGTGTTTACTGTCAGATCGTTTAAATTTAAAAAGTATTGCAGAGAACTTTACCCTTCCCTGGACAAACCTCCTACATGAGCCTATGGCCCAGTTCAGGTTCAAGGGGAGAAAGCCTTGTTCAGGAAGGAAAGTATGACAGCAAAGCAGTCTGGAAGTGTTTTCAGTTCCCTCTTAAAAGATCCCTGGAGGGGGATTCTGATCTTGCCTGGAGATCATAAAGGAGAGTGTTATCATGATGGGCTCTGGAACAGGAATGTGCTTAAGAAGTGCATTTTAGAACTGCCTCACTCCTTCCAGAAACCTCCAGAGATTGCCTGAGACCTCACTATGACTAGCAAGCTGTGTCTGGTTATAATTGAGTCAGATTTTTGTTAAGCATGATTTCTGTGGTAAGTTGAATTTTTATTTGAGTATTTTAGTCAGTTGAATTTTTTAAATGTTTTGTAGTCGTTACTGAACCTTTATTTATTTATTTATATGCATGCTGAGAATCAAACCCAGTGTCTCACACAGCTAGGCAAGGGTTCTACCACTGAGCCACAACCCCTAATTAGTCATATTTTAATTGGACCTAATTCATGGCTGATTTTTCTCAGAATATCCTTCTACCTGTTTGTACCTGAATCACCTGTTTTGAGTATAAGTAGTTTTACTTTTAATCCAGACAATGAATTTTGAGTATCCTAAGCATACTTCCAGGCTTCCTGAAATAGCTGCCTCGCTACCTGTAGATAGGCAAGTTTAGTCCTACTCACTATGAGGGCCCCTCATGATCAAGCACAGTTGTGTAGTTGGAAGTCTGCTTATGTCAACTAGTGAGGCTTTGTGATGAGCCTTTGTTCCAAGCTCAGAGTGAAATGTGGCCCAGGAGCCCAAATGTCTATGTAGGTGTCCAGCTGCATGCCTCAGCTTCTCACAGGCTGACCCTCTGCTCTGCATCTCTACCTACTCACCTGGGTCCTTCTTAACAACCTGCCTAGCTCTTGCCAGGCCTTTCTCACTGGGGATTCCACACACATTGCTACTGCCTGGATTCTCCCAGATGTACAACTTACAGTATTATACGGTCTAGAGACTCCTGTTGCCATGCCTCACACTTGAGAACAGACTTCCTGACGCTATTAAAGCCAGCCCAGATGAATCCAAGTTAATCACATCCGCATGAACACTGTGATTTGAACTGCTGGCCATCCCTGAGGGAGCCAGCCCATAACCCAGTATCTCCCTGGACATTCTGGGTTTCTTCCCATTGCGGACACCTGCTGCTAGGATTTCAGTAGATGCCAGTACTACCTAGGGAGGGTTCCAACTTCAATCATGCCAGCATGGTCACAAATTCTAAAGGGACACAAAAGGAGGTTATTATGGAAAAAAGAAGTCTTAACTATTCTTTGCCTTCATTGAGGGTAAACTCAGAGGAAACTTTGAGTAATGTATGAACAGTAAGTGCTTTAGTACTATGACATAAATTATTTATTAGTGGACAAAGTGAAATACAGTTTGCTCTCTCAAATAGTACCCTCAGTTAAAATACAACGGTATTTACCTGCTGCAACAAAATGTTTTAAAAATTATGTAATTATTGCAGCAGGACCCTAATAACATCAGCATCTAAAATGCAGCCTCTAAAGCTAAATGCAGTCTTTTTAAAGACTAATTAGCTGGAAAATTAGGAATGCTCAAGGATGAACAATCCAGGTCTTTCATGGAAAGAGTATCCAGCCAATGGGAAGTCGGTAAAGCTCCAGTGACAGAAGGCACTCTTTGGCTGTCAACCAGACTGAATCCATTACACCTGCTGAATCTGTCTGGAGTCCATTTCCTACTAGGGACCACTAACTGACCAGTCATCCAGATGTGCTATGAGTGTTCTGCCACCTATTTTGGAGAAACATGATCTTTTTATTACCTGTCTATAGCTGGGGGAATTTTCCATTCTCCTCCAGGGCCCTTTGTTCTTTGGGTGAGTGTTGTGTTGTTGCATAGAGATTTAAATTCACCAGCAGCTTTCCCCCTCTCTCTGCAGTGCTGACTCATTTTCCCTAGACACTTGTTCATATGCAGCTTGCTGTGGTCCCTTGATCTCTCTTGCCAAGTGATGGGAAAGCATTTGTGAGGTATTGGAAGCCTATTACTGGGGTTTTATCCAGCTGTCCTTGTTTGGTATTTTGGCAAAAGAGTTCTACTCTGCATTTGTTCCATTATTTCTATTCCTGCCTTTCAAGTAGAACCAGGTTAGCAAATGACAGAAAATTAAATCCAGATGATTTGTGATAAGAAGTGTTTAAAAAAAAAATAGGACTACTCAGTCATAAAGAATGCTCAGAATGAGATTATGCAAATACTTCTATTATCACACCTTCCAGTGGTAAGGGCATTCTTGATTCTGAGGCAAGGCAACAAAATTCTGGTTAGCTTTATATTTATTTAATTTTTCTGTTTTAAATGAGCAGAAGCTCACTGAAGCATAAAAGAAATTATGTTTTTAAAAGAGCCTGCCTTATAATCACCTAGGTGCTTCACAGCTCAACAGAGATGATGAATAAATTTGCTTTGGCATCATAGTTTATAATTTACGCATGCACTTGCAACAGAAATGGTTGTCACACTTATTAATTTCAGGAAACTTGTGATTTGGAAAAGATAAAGCCTGAAGCCAGACGATACTTGGAAAAGTCAGTTAAAATGGGAAAAAGGAACGGACTCCATCTTCCAGAACAAGTACAAAATGTGAGTTTATGTTTCTTTTTCTTACTGGGGACAAAATGAATAAATAAAATACAACAGAAATAAGGAAATAGGGAAGCAGTTGGAGTGTAATAAAATAACCCATAATAAAGATGCATTTACAATGTGTTTGGTATTCTATGTTTTAAATCCTATAACTCCTGTTAACCTCATGGTACTGACAAACAACTAATAATTGTTTTTAAATTCTGTCCAGGTTTTATTTGTTTTATGTGTGTTGGGTTATTTCCCCTGATCTATTTTATATTCTTTGTTGGTTCGAGATCTTAATAGTTGGCTTGTATGTTCTTTCTCTTGGACATACAGAGATAGAGCACTGGTAATAAACTCTTTATTGATGGAGAATTTTAAAACCAGCACTTTGGAATGGAGCATACTATGATTGATATATGCTTCTTTTATAAAGAGAGATTAGCTGCTGGAAAGTGCTTCTCAAAATTTTATTTTGTCTAAGGCCAATCCTTCTAGGTTCAGAACTAAACTTGGCTGCAGAATTAACCTCATTCTTCTTAGACAGGAAATATAATTCATATTTATTTCCAGATCAGTCTTCTAGAGAGCAGACCCGGAAATAAGTTTGAAAGAAATCCAGCCCAAATGTCATCATGATAGATATAAATAAAGGCACCACTGAGACATGTACCCTTCTGCCACCTCAATGCCCTGTGATCACCTTATGTCATCTTCATCCTCATTAGAGGAGAAAGGCACTTGATCTGCTTGTCTGACCCTTTGCCTTCCTGGCCAATCCTTCAGTTCTATAGTATGAAAACTATAAGGGTACAATGTGTTTAGTTGTAGCTAACAAAATTCCCTTTAAAAAAAAATAGATGATATTTAGTCATTTGTGTAACTGGAAGATGCAGAGGTAAATGGGCTTTATGGTTTATTTGAATCTAGATGACCAGTGGTGCCTCCTGATTTTTCTTGCCTCTATTCTGTCTTCTTTAGTATTAGTGTTATCCAAAGGCTGACTTCCTTTTATTACTAAAGTAGCTGAAAACTCCCCCATCCAGAAGGACTTTGGGAAGCTCCTATCAAACCTCCCTTTGTGTCTTTGTGACCCACAGTGGATCTTGGACCTAATCCTCAATCCCCCATCAGACACTGATGCTTCTTATCAACACCACAGTTTGAGAACTAGTGTAGTTTAAGTAAATTTCATTATCTAGCATTGTCAAAAGAATGGGACACATTAATCAAATTTTTTTGTTATAGATTGCTTATTACTTCCTTGCATCTCCAACCTAATACTTTTCTGCAAATGTTAGTCAGAGGAATGCCAGGCTTGGGTTATTTGAACAAGTCACCACAAGGAAGATAGAGTAATTTCTTCAACTTTGTAGAGGATACACCCCTAGAACTTCAGATAGGATCAAAGGAGGAGTGATGGAAGGGAAATTGGAAAGACAAAGTATCCTAAGAAAAGCAGTGAACAATATGTGTTAAGGCAGTAGTCTCAAAGTTAAAGTGCACTGAAATTACTTGTGGGGCTTGTTGAAAGTCTGGTTATAGCACCCCACTCTCAAGAGTTGGCATTTCAGTAGGTTTAACGTAGGTTCTCAGGAAACTTCATTTCTAACAGGTTCCCAGTTGATGTAGCATTGTTAGAAGAATGGGACAGATTAATACAGTTTTCCTTGTGTTTTCTTGCTTATTGATCTCCCACCTAATACTTTTGATGCAAATGTTAAGGTTCATAAATCACCTTTGTTAGCAAATGCTTTGTAAAACTAAGATATTACCTTTTTTCCAAAACAACCTTAGAATTAATTACTTAGTACTTTTCTCTTGGTTTGCTTCAGCACCAGATCCAGATTACTTAATTAAAAGATTGGAATTGGAAAAGATTAGAAATATGCTTATTGGTGATGGGCTACTAGATTTATTAATTTATCAAACATCTATTTATTGTGTGTGCACAGTGTACCAGATACTACATTTATTATAACTTTTACATACTCTTATTATAATTATTAATCTGTTTAGTTCTTCAAATTTACAATTAATTTGTAATGCACCACGAAACTTGCCTTTCTTGCATCCACAGGCATAACGGAGAAGACTGCCAGCACCTGCTTTCCCAAGCACATCTCAAAGTACTTCCTGAGGGTTGGGTACCAAATCCAGTCTGCATATAAGAGTGAAACTTATTTAACCAATGAAGATAAAAAATGAAAGTTTCTTTTTACTGCTAATGTTATATATATTTTTCTACATTTCAGGAAATCAAATCGATGAAGGAAAAAATGAGTGAGCTATGTATTGACTTTAACAAAAATCTCAATGAGGATGATACCTTCCTGGTATTTTCCAAGGCTGAACTTGGTAAAATTCTGTTATTTTTCTAGATCAAAGTATATAATTTAGGGCTGGGGATGTGGTTCAAGCGGTAGTGCGCTCGCCTGGCACACGTGCAGCCCGGGTTCGATCCTCAGCACCACACACAAACAAAATGTTGTGTCCACCGAAAACTAAAAAAAAAAATATTAAAATTCTCTCTCTAAAAAAAAAAAAAAAAAACCAAAGTATATAATTTAGGCAAATAATGTCACCTCATAGATTGCCGTGCTTTCCAGACAGAAAACTTAAATCAGAATTCAAAATATTCTTTTAAAAAATCATGCAATTCCTATACCCATCACTCCTCCTACAGAAACAACAACTGAAGCAGCCAAAATTAGGCTTTAGGCTAATAAGAATGTAAACTATTTCTAGAGACAGTCCAGAGGAGATTTCATAATTTTTCCCCATAATCTTTTTTAGTAATTTATGCTGGTATTTAATAGCCTTCAGGGCCCTGAACTTTTTTTCTACCTTGCAGTGTCCCCTGCATTGTCACTTAAACTAATCTCTTACTCTGTTCTGGGTCTTCCTTGGCTTAATTTTTTCTACTCTTCATGAAAATGCCATCTGTTCAGGTGCACGGAAGCCTATTCATAGTTTGAATTACCATCTCCTGAGCCACCTGGCCTCTCACCACCACTCCTATTCCAACAAAATCAAAATTATAGGGATTGTCATATTTTACTTGAATTTCAATTACTCCACCAAATTCCTAGAGCTACTTAGAGGCACCATGCCAATGCTAAATAAACTAGTAATGAGTGGAAAAAGTGATGTATAAGAAAATGATTTTTTGCAGGTGCTCTTCCTGATGATTTCATTGACAGTTTAGAAAAGACAGGTGATGACAAGTATAAAATTACCTTAAAATATCCACACTATTTTCCTGTCATGAAGAAATGTTGTGTCCCCGAAACCAGAAGGAAGATGGAAATGGCTTTTAATACAAGATGCAAAGAGGTAATACATACATTTGTCTTTCTTTTGTTTTTAATAGAAGATTTTAAGGAAGAGGTTTGCTTTGTTTACCAATATTGAATTCATCTCAGCGGCAATATTCCTATTTGTGTATGCATCGCACCTTCTAATTCCCCAGGACTATAAGACCTTTAGGTTTGGCTCAGTGGAACCTGCTTTGTATGGCCATAGACTAAACTGTTCTGATAAAAATAGAATGGGTGTCATAAATTAGAAGTTGTATTCCTTTCCCAAGTCAGCAGTACAAGGCTGGTAAGGTATCTCTCTTTCTGTAACAATTGACTTCCAACATCATTCCTGAAAATGATTTTTCCCCAGCCTGTTGAGAAGGTGGGAGAAAGACAGTACAGGCCAGGACCTAGAAGCAACTGACATCAACTCCATTCACATCCCATTAATTCACATTTCATCCTGTAGCTGTATCTAGATCCAAAGGAAGCTGACATGTAATCTTTTGTTGACAAACAGTTGCTCAGCTTAGAGGGTTTTATTATTAAAAGGAAGTAGAAATGGATTCTTAGCCAACTAGCGTATTCCACCATTGTCTGTTTCTCTAGCTACTTGGGTAACCATGAACACCCTTTTTTTCATAGAACCATTTGTCAGTTCCCATCCAGTTATTGCCTTGAGCTCGAAGATCAAGATCTCTGTGGGACACACAGTTCTTCGTAGTGATAGCTTCTCATGATCTAGCAGTCTATGAAAGTAAGACATTTTATCATCTACTTCACCCTGCTATAAATAAATAAATAAATAGAAATAAATAGCCCTCCCATTTGGAAAAGGAAAGAATGAGAAACAGCAGACACAGCAGTTTTCAACAACTGGCAGAAATTAGGATTCCAGCTCTGGTGAAGTTCCTTGGATTTATTTGGGTCTGCCTTCTCCGAGTATTCCTTTATCAGTGGTACTCCGTGGTCTTAGATTTTGCCTGCAGGGTGTTCTTTCGTGACCATATCTTAGAGTACTGCTAGTTCCAGTATGAAATGTATGCTAGTGCCAGTTTGAAGAGTTAGGATTGCTTTATTAGTCAAATAACCACACGACTAGGCCAGGCCTTATATCATCCTGGTAATAAAATTCCTTCAGAAACTTAAGTTTCTCATCTGTTTTCTTCCATAATAACTATACCAAATATTGCTTTTGACCATAATTCCTGCCAGATCTTACATGCTGACTTGTGTATTTTGTCCATCCTTCTCTTCTTCAATTTAATGGAGTCTGCTTTGGAGCCTTTCGAAAAGCAGGCTTAAGAAGGAAGGCAGTATTCTCAAATTAATCTCTGCAATTCAGTCACTCCAAGTGACATTCTTTCCTCCTGATGTTAGAAACAGAGCAAGTGGCTTTTCTAGCCATCTGAAACCCATATTATAGACCACAGCAGAACCTTCCTTAGCAAAATTCTTTTCCTTTTATTTTTGTAAATTGGTCAATACTCACATGAGCTCACCTCTCTCATTTGATCCTTTCAAAAGCAACGTATACCAACAAACAGGCCAACATTGTTAGTTTTCCCAAACAGTTTATTTGAAGCTAAGACTTAGTAGGTGCATGGCTTGCTTCTACGTTATAGCAAACAACAGTTTTAACAAATATTCTTTGTGATATAATAAGGACCACTAGCTTCCCAACCTGGTGAATGCAGAAGCCTCACTTCCATTCTGGTACATTTTTTCATTTTGTTATAGCAGCATCTTGTTTCTGCCACTAGTCTCTGTATGTCAAGGTGCAGGCTGAGCAACTTTACAGAGGTCAATCAAAATCATAGTGACCCAAATAAGATCAAAGTTATTTCTTTTCAGAAAGTAGATTAGAGGTTACCAGGGAATATAGAAGCAACCCTGAGCAGTTTTTGTTAATGGTTATAGCATTTCTGTTTAAGATAAATGAATATATAATTAATGCCACTAAATTGGAAATTGGACACTTAAAAAATGGTTAAAGTACAGCCAGGAGTAGTGGTGCATGCCTGTAATACCAGTAGCTAGGGAAGCAGGAATGTTTTTAACTACAATGCATCTGTAGTTAAAATGGCAAATTTGTATGCTTTTTATATTTTACCACAGTAATGGTTTAAAAACGAGTTCAAGGCCAGCCTTGACAACTTAGTGAGACCTATTTCAAAATAAAAAAATAAGAAGGGTTGGGAATGTAGCTAAGTTGTAAAGCAATTCTGGGTTCAATTCCCAGTACTGGAAATACACATATATATTTATATATAACATAACATATGTAATATATAGAGTATACATCCTACATATAGTATGTTTTACGTTATATATTTGCCACAATTTTTTAAAGGTTTATTTCTTTGTAACGCAATGCCATCCTCAGTATGTGACTTCTGAAGTCATTGTTGTTACCTTCCTTTCACAACTAGCAAGGCAAGCATCTATAAAGAGATGACCCACCTGGGCATGATGGTACGTGCCTATAAACCCAGTGACTCAAAAGGCTGAGGCAGGAGGATGGCAAGTTCAAAGCCAGCCTCAGCAACTTAGTGAAGCCCTCAGCAACTTAGCAAGATCCTGTCTCAAAATAAAAAATAAAAAGGGCTGGGGATGTGGCTCAGTGATTAAGTACCCCTGGGTTCACTCCTCGGTACTAAAAAAACAAGAGAGAAAGATAACCTAGAAATTTCACTCATCATCTCATTTACATTCCATTGTCCCATTAAGTTTTGCATGGCCACAAGTAGATTTAGGATGGGTAGCTGGGTAACCATGTGTTTATCAAAAACTGTTAATAAAAGGAAGAATGAGAGAATAGGTGTTGGAAGAAATTTGGCAATCTGAAGAAAAGATCTGGGGAAATGAAAAAGATGAAAGAAGAATTCAAACTAGTATAATTCAAACTAGAATTATAGTATGTATACATCTCTTATCCATGCTTCCAGATTCTAAAATACTATTAACAGGTAATTATGTAGGATTTGCTCTTATGTCAGACATTTTTCTAAGTACTTTACATTATTCTTATTTGAATCTTCACGTTCACCCTATAATGAGACAAAAAAAGTGAAAGATGAGAGAGCTGAGCCTCAGAAAGGTCAAAGGATTTGTGCAAGGTCAAACAGCTAGTAAGTGGTGGAGCCAAATTTTGAATTCAGGTCTTCCTAGAAATTAGTCCATAAATAATTTGCTGATTTGATTATTAGAATTGGTTTTCTTATGAAATTTATTTACTTCTAGGAGAATTTACTTTTCCTTTTATTATTAAAAAATCAATACATTTCTAAGAGAATTCAAATATAGAAAGTATTTGTAATATCTACTTGGGGAAAAAAATCCCTGAAACATTTTTAAATATTGAGTTCTATGGTGTGTTAGTCTGTTTGTACTGCTATGACAAAATACCACAAATTGGGTAATTTAAAAAAACAAAGAAATTTATTTTCATAGTTCTTGAGGCTGACAAGTCCAAGATCAAGATGTTGACTTCAGTGTCTGGAAGGGTGCTTCTTGCCACCTGCTCACATGAGAAGGGGGAAGAATGCTGTTCTTCAAATGATAGAAGGGCAAAAATGGCCTACACCTGTTCCTTCAGCTCTTTATTTGGCACTAATCCATTCACAAGTATAGTGCCCTCGTGTCTTTGGTCACTTCCAAAATGACCCCACCTCTTCATATCACAACACAGATTTTCAACATATAAATTTTAGGGGAACATTCAGATCATAGCATGTTACATTAACTGTGTTTACATTATTCTGCAGCCATCACCATCATCCATCCACAGAACTTTTCTGTGCTCCCTAACTGAAACTCTGTGTTCATTAAACACTCCTCCCCATTCTCCTCTGACCCTGGATGCTGACAACAACCATTCTGCTTTCGGTGTCTATGAATTTGCTCTGGAACCTCATATAAATGATATCATGTATCTTTTTGTGAGTGGCATATTTCACTTACCATAATATCTTAAAGGTTCATCCATGTTGTAGTGTGTCCTCCTAAGACTGAATTGTATTCCATTGTGTTAAATGCCATATTTTGTTCTTGTATTCATTTGTCAGTGGACACTTGAATTGCTTCCATTTTTGGCTATTGTAAATGATGCTGCTATAAATGTGTGTAGAAATATCTCTTTGAGTCTCTGCTTTCAATTCTTTTGTATAATATATATTCAGAAGTGAAATTGTGGATCATATGGTAATTTTGCTTGATTTTATGAAGAATATAATTTTCCACAGCAGCTGTACCAGTTTATGTCCTCATCAGCAATGCACAAGGGTTCCAATTTCTTTACATCCTTGAACATAGATATACATATATATATACATATATACATATACATGTATACTCATATATCTATACTTTAATGCCACCTGCTATACATACAGTAGTCATACTAATGCATCTGTAGTTAAAATGGCAAATTTTTATGCTTTTTATATTTTACCACAGTAATGGTTTAAAAACATTTGACAGTTTTGCAAACCTCAAAATATAACAACTCTTCTTTTAGTGCTTTGGGTTCACTTATTATCTTTTGGTTTTGCTGTTGTTTATTCCTAGGAAAACACCATCATTCTGCAGCAGCTACTGCCACTGAGGGCCCAAGTGGCCAAGCTACTTGGCTACAATACACATGCTGACTTTGTCCTTGAAATGAATACTGCCAAGAGTACAAGCCGTGTGACAACCTTTCTCGGTCAGTTCTTTTTCTTCTTAAAAAAAAAAAAAAAAGTTATATGGTTTCCATTTCTTTTTTTTTTCCCCTGATTTTTTGCTATATCATGTCAATTTAAGGTCTCAAATCAAATATTTCTTTGAGGATATCCAGGTTTTCATTCAATCAAGAGAAATTCGTTGAACACCTCTTCTATTAGATAGTGTACTTATTCTAGCGGCTTCTCGTGGTTACTATGACATTACTATTATTATTATGACATTACTATTATTCTTCATTCTATCTTGCATGTTGTTTGAGATTTTTATACTGATTCCTCACATGACATCTAAACAGTGTTAGCCCATTGCATTTATTCACTGCCACTAGGTATTTAGTAGTTACAGTTTGGCTATTTATGAATTTGCATGACATAAGCTGACAGATATGATATAAATGGAAACAACACATATTTTTGTTAAATATTTATTTTTTAGTTGTAGTTGGACACAATATCTTTTATTTTTTATGTGGTGTTGAGGATCGAATCCAGGGCCTCGAACGTGCTAGGCGAGCGCTCTACCACTGAGCCACAATCCCCAGCCCCAAAACAACATATATTTTAAAAAGTAAACATTTTATGCTCCAGAAACCATTTGTCAATGTATGAAGGTAATATAAAATAGCTATATTCACATTCATTTTATGTCATTTTTTCATAAAGCTTATACAAATCATGGCTCTTATGTCCATGACATTTAGTCTCTGGAACTCTCTCACTTACTTATCCTCTCAGTCCTAGTGTCCCCATTCCAACCATCATTATTTTCTCTTTCATCTTAGTGAAAATGGTTGAATAATTCAGACACAATAAAGATATTATTATTTTTTATTATTATATCTCTAATCTGAATTAACCATAATATGATTTCTTTTGTACTTTCCCCACTAACCCCTTCAAACTTTATTCACCTTCAATAACATTCCAAATTATTTCATCTGTTGTTTTGAAATCCTTTTAGTAACTTAATTAGGTTGGAGAATGATGTGTTAAATCAGCCATATATGTGTTAAAATCCATCATATATGGATTATGTATTCCACAAATGATATTTATTATTATATAGTTTATTAATTGGGGAGACATTTATGAAATAATTACATAGTATTAGGCATGACAGATTATTATCATACTAAGTGGTAGGATTATAGAAAGGCATATGACAAGTCGTTGCTTCAATGGTTTTTCTACCTAGTGAATGTAACAGGGATGTGAGCAGGTAATTGCCATACAGTCCAATGCATGTTATACAAGAGGATGGTTCAAGGACTTAACAGGTTTGTTGAAGTTTCCTTTAGTGGTGACTACATATTCTGAAATTTCTCCTTCACACATCTGATTAACTTAATTCCTTTAAGGTTGTTTTCCCTCTAATTTGAAATTGGCTTATTCTCAAATGAATTGTCCTGTTGCTGCCTACATTTATATATTCTCTCACAAGCTGTGTTAGTTAGCTTTCTGTCACTGTGACAAAATACCTGAGAAAATCAACTTAAGGAAGGAAAGGTCTATATGTTCTTTCTGGACCTGTGGTGAAGAGCACCATGGTGAAAGATGGCACAAAGCTGCTTACCTTATGGCAGCCAGAAAGAAAGGAAGGGTTGGGGGGCAGGGAGAATGAGCACATAAGAGAACACATAAGAGGGAGGGGATAGGTACAAAATATATCCTTTAAAAGCCTTCCCCCATTACCTACTTCCTCCAATTAGGCCCCACTCCCTAAAGGTTGTGCCACCTCCTTATAGGACCATAGGCTGGCAAACAAGCCTTTAGCACATAGCCTTTGGGCAACATTTCAGATCTAAAACTTAACAGGCCTAATCAAAACTATATCTCTTTGTATCTTCTCTGAGTGTCCTCCTCTTTCTTCACGGCATTTCTCAGACTACTGCCTCCATCTCACAGCGTGGGGCAACCTCTAAACTCCCATGTCCCTCGCAAACCCAAGCATACTTTTATCTTAACATATGTAACAAACTGTGACAAATAAATACAGAAGCACATACTCATTTAGCCAAATAAAAAACAAGTAGTTAACAGTTGAAGATAGTAAATAAAGCATGGTGCCCAGAAGTTTCTCCATCTAAAATGTAGAATTGCTCTATCCAAATCGTCCTCCTTCATAGGAATGGGCAATGAGAAACTAAACCCGTGGCTGTCAGATATGTTGAGCAATTTCTAGATAATACTGACCACAGGTCACATCTGGTTTGTTTCCCTTGGCTTTCTTAAAAACTTAAGCTCACTGAAAAATAATTGTGCACACGAGTTTAGTTTCACTATTACTTTGCACCCTAATTACATCCTTGAGTTAGAGTTCTTTGAGGTAAACCTCACCTTTGTTGGTGCTCTCAGGAAGTCATGGTCAGGTTTTGGTGGTGCTCAAGGAAAAAGGGAGAGTCGTTAATCACCCTCAGGAGTAAAATCTGCTGTCATAATAGAGCTTTCCTTCTTCCTTCCTTGCTGATTTCTCATGTTTAGCACCATGTTAACACATTGGCAGTTTGGATGAATGGGCTTGCTCCAGAGAGCAGTAGACCACTAACTTTTCCCATTTCTTCACAGATGACTTAAGCCATAAATTAAAACCCTTGGGTGAGGCAGAAAGAGAGTTTATTTTGAATTTGAAGAAAAAAGAATGTAACGAGAGAGGTTTTGAATACGATGGAAAAATCAATGCCTGGGATCTACACTATTACATGACTCAGACAGAAGAACTCAAATACTCCATAGACCAAGAGTCCCTCAAGGAGTACTTCCCCATCGAGGTGGTCACTGAAGGCTTGCTGAACATCTACCAGGAGTTGTTGGGACTTTCCTTTGAGCAAGTGACAGATGCGCATGTTTGGAATAAAAGTGTTACACTTTACACTGTGAAGGATAAAGCTACTGGAGAAGTGTTGGGACAGTTCTACTTGGACCTGTATCCAAGGTACTGAGGATCATATTGCTGGAATTTAGGGATTCAGCTACTAATCAGTTTAAGATTCCTCCTTCCACATTTCCCATGAGTGATTCTTAGTGGAGGTGTTAAAAATGTGGGTTTTCATCACTTACTGGGCAAGTAACTTAATTTTTCTGTGCTTTAGTTTTCTTACCTATATTATAGAATCTGATAAAATGAGAATCCTTGTGGCATCTGCTTTGTAGGGTTATTGTAAAAATCAAGTTGATTAGTTACCTCCAAAGCATTTGGAAGACTTCCCAGCATATAACAAGAGCTTTTACATATACTGGGGGCTATCATCATCTATTGTGTGCACTGCATTTGTTGAATTTAAAATTGACTCTAAAGATGTTTGGGTAATCTGTCTACCAGTCCTCTTAAATCTATGACCACTCCCTTCAGTCTGGCTGGGAGGCAGCACAAAAATAGTAGGAATAGCAAAATCTTTGTAGTCAATTAAACTTGAGTTTGAATGCTTGAATGACATAAACTCATTGACACTTTGCTTCTAGTAGAGAACTGATAATCCCTTTAGAGAGTTGTTTGTGCATTAAAGACTACATATGCAAATTGCCCAGCCCAGCTGTCAATCTGTGATAAGAATGTAAAACATTATCATCATTTTTTTTAACATATGGCAAATGGACTCCATGATCTTCTGTCACACACAAAGGTTTTAGATCTCTTTCTCCCTAGATGAATTTATAAAACAAAGCCAACCTGTCATAATTACTAATTCGTTTTACTAAATAAACCAAAGGAAATTGTAGCATCCCTCTAGTTCACTAACATATAAATTTGTAGTCCACTGACTGAATGGGGCTGGGTACCTGTGCCATCCAGTTGACAAGCACAGGTGTCCTTAGGCATCTAGATTATCCCAGAGCTTTATGGATTTACTTTCACTCATGATGTGACCTAAAAATAAAACCATGTCAACTGTAGATGGGTCTACTTTTAATTAAAAAGTGTCCAAATACAGTTTTAAGTGAAGAATTCTTTGAGTGGTAAACCTCCAACATTGGTATCTCCTATCACTATCCCAATAATCTCTCCAGTGTCAGTATAATAATTCTTGCTATCTCATCCTGCTGTCTCTCTGAGACAGAATTGGTTTCTTTTGTTCTGAGAAATCTGGTCATTGCTACCAGCACTTTGGTATCGATACCAGAGAGTAATCTTTGGTGAGGGTAGTGACCATATTAATATTTATTTCCTGTCCCCTTACATTCTCCCTTAATAACAGTGAGAGAAATTAACTTGTTTCATTTGTCAGACCAAAAAAAAAGATAGTGGGAATAAGTTTTTAAAAGACTGTTTGTTTCTTTCTTTAAATCACATTTCTGTTTTTATTCATCAATACTGAGATTCTCAAACAAAACAAACACAAAAAAACCTGATGGTTATTTCAACATAAGATCACCAGGTAAAGACTTTTATTAGTCAGCATAATTTTATAAATAAAATTAGGAAAGGCCTTATCTTGGAATAAGGAAACCTTTGAAATTAAATAAATCCATATTTTTTTAAAAGAAAGATTAAAATTCCTCAAAATATCACTGATTTTAAAATTACTAGTCTTTGATTTCAAGCTAAAGTTTTAAAAATTCTTCAAATATTTTTGGGAAAAATTACTCACCTATTATCTCTCCATTGCAGTAATACCCGTTTCATTCTCAAACCAGGTATATACATTGTTTCACAATACAGCAGGAGGTATAAAACTAGCAGAATAAGGATTCCCCTATTCTGTAATTTTCCCATTTAATAAAAGATTTTTAAATTCTATTTGCCTATTTATACACTTCTAAATCATGACATAAAATCTTTGCAGGAACACTGATCGGGCTACTGAATACACAGAGGCTGAGCTGGCTGAAAATTTTAACAAATTCAATGCACAGTTTCTGGTGTATATGTCCATAGGTTCTGTCTCCCTCTGCCTTCCTTCTCTTCTGGTGTCCTGTTTGCTCCTAGCTCAGCCTTGACAGAGTTCTATTTTTATATAAGCATTTAATATAAGTAATGAAGTCTGTTCCAACAATACTTTTAAGTTGTATCCCACACAATTTGGTGTATTGTACTCTTGTTTTCATTCCAAAAAATAAGTATGTTCTACAATCTCTTGTGATTTTTCTCTTTGACCCATGCATTAACATAAACATGTATGCTTTAAGTTCTAAGTATTGGAGATTTTTCTAAAGATCTTCCCCATTATTTCTAGCTAGGGTTTGTTTTTTGTTTTGTTTTGTTTTTTGATTGGAAGATATACTTTGTATCTATTCAGTTCTTTTAAACTCCTATGATTTATCTTATGACCAACCTTGGTGAATGTTTCATGTGCACTTGAAAAGAATGTTTATTTTGGTATTTGTTGGTGGAGTGATCTATAAATATCAACTAGATAAAATTTATCAATAGTGTTGTTAAGATCTGCATCCTCACTGATTTTTTTTTTAATTTGGTCTGCCTGTTCTATTACTGAGAGAAAGAGGAAGTCTCTATATTTGCAGATTTGTCTATTTCTTCTTCAGTTCTATCAGTTTTTGCTTCATGTATTTTAAAACATTTTTTTAGGATTGTTATAACTTTTTAGGATTTTATTCCTTTATCATTACATATTGTCCCTTGTTATCTTGACTAATATTCCTTGTTCAAATGTCTACTTTTTACTTAAAGTAGGCCTCTCATATAGATAATATGTAGTTGGAGCTTGTTTTGTGTGTGTGTGGATGTGTGGCACTGAGGATTGAATCCAGAACCTTTCTCATGCGAGGTAAGCTCTCTACCACTGAGATATACCCCCATCCTTCCTTTTTTCCATATTTTTTAATTGGTTCATTATAGTTATATATAATGGTGGGATTTGTTGTTACATGTTTGTATATGCACACTGTATAACAATATAATTTGGCCAGTATAATTCTCCAGCATTTCTCCTTTCCCTCTTTCCCCACCCCTTTGTTCCCTTTCCTCTACGCTACCGATTTCCCTTCAATTTACATGATCTTTTTAAATTTTGAGATAAACTTAAGTTTGCCCAGCCTAGCCTCAAACTTGAGATGCTTCTGCCACAGTCTCCCAAGTAGTTCGGATTACAGGTCTGCACCACCATGCTCCCTGAGCTTGCTGGGTTTTAATCCTCTTGGATCATCTCTTTTAATTAGTGCTTATACTAATTGCATTTATGTTGCATGCTTAGAATATTCACATTTAATATAATTATTGATATGATAATATTATGCCCTATTTGTGTGTGTGTGGTACTAAAGATTGAACACAGGGGTACTCTGCCTCTGAGCTATAAACTACATCCCCATCCCTTTTTATTTTGAGAGAGGGCCTCGCTAAGTTGTTGAGGCTTGTTGTAAACTTGTGCTCTCCTGCCTCAGCCTCCCAAGTCACTGGGATTACAGGTGTGTACCATGTCGCCCAACTTTTACATGTTCCATCAGTACTTTATTTTACCATTGTGTGGTCGGAGAGGGATTAAACCCAGGGCTTCTTGAGTGCTATCTAAATGGTATTTCCAGCCTCCATCTGTAGTTTTTCCTCACTTTTCTGCCTTTTGGGGGTTAGTTAAGGACTTTTATTTTAATATTTTTTAGATGTTGATAGACCTTTATTTTATTTATTTATATGTGGTGCTAAGAATCAAACCCCGTGCTTCACACATGCCAGGCAAGGGTGCTAACACTGAGTCACAGCCACAGCCCAAGTTAAGGATTTTTTATGGTTTAGTTTTATTTACACAATTGGTATATTATTTATATCTCTTTTAAAATTTTTGTTAATGGCTACCGTAGGGTTTATAATATACATCTTTGATTAATTAGGAATTGTCTTCAAGTAACATTGTACTACACCTGACATGGAATACAAGGAACTTAAGGATACATTCCCAATTTCTCCTTCTTCTCATTTATGCCATTGTTGGTACTTTCACATAAACACCCAACACATTCCTAATGTTATTGCTTTATGTAGTCATTTTTTATTCAGAGAAACTAAAAATAAATACATTTTACATGTATCTTCATCTATTCCATTTTAACACTTCATTTCTTTGTAGATCCAAGTTTTGGACTAGTAACTTATCCCCTCTGTCTGAAGAACTTCCTTTAAAATGTCTTCCAGTTCAGAGCTGAGCATGGCAGTGCATGCCTTAATCCCAGTAACTCAGAAAACAGAGGTAGGAAGATTGCAAGTTCAAGTCCAACTCAGCAACTTAGCAAGACCCTATCTCAATATTTTAAAAGTTCTGGGGATGTGCTCATTAGTAAAATAATTCAATCCTCAGTAACAAAAATAAATAAATAAATAAATAAATAAAATAATGTTTATAAAGCCTTATCAAGCAACCATGGTCTGAAACTATGACCCAAAATAAACCTTTTATCCTTCTTTTAAAAAGGGGGGGGGGGCTGGGGCTCAGCAATAGAGTGCTCGCCTAGCACATGTGAGGCACTGGGGTTCGATCCTCAGTACCACATAAAAATAATAAATAAAATAGAGGTATAAAAAAAGGAAAAGAAACTATTAGAAAAAAATTTAAAAAAAGGTCTAATCATTCAAGCATATTGACACTGTAGTGTTTTAAATTTTTGTCTGTCTGAAAAGTCTTTATTTTTCTAGAAGATTTTTTATACAGTTTTTTTTTTTAGTTGGACACAATACCTTTATTTTGTTTATTTATTTTTATGTGGTGCTGAGCATTGAACCCAGTGCTTCACAGGTGTGAGGCAAGTGCTTTACCACTGAGCCACAACCGAGCCCCTTATACAGGTGTTTTCTTTCAGTCCTTTAAAGACGTTATTCTGCTGTCTTATGGCTTGTATAGTTTCAAATAAGAAGTCTGTTGTGATTCTTGTCCCTCTGTACATACTATGCTTTTTTCTTTTGACTGCCTTCAAGATCCCCTGTTATGGCTGGAGATGTGGCTCTGTGGTAGAGTGTTTGCCTTGCATGCATGAGGCCTGGGTTTCAATCCCTAACACCAGGGGTACAGCAGGTAAGAGCCTCTGTTTACCACTCATTTTGGGCAGCTTCAATATATTTATGGTGGTGTGCTTTATCCTTCTTTGAGTTTCTTCTACCTGTGGTTTGGTGTTAATTTTAGAAAACTCTTGAGTATTATTTCTTCAAACGTTTCTTCTTTTCTCTCTTTCTCCTTTTAAGATCCCAGTTACACATATAGAATATCATTTGACATTACCCTGTGACTCTTGATGTTGTGTTCTGTTTTGTTTTCATCATCCTTTTAAAAAAATTTTTTATGTTAGGGTAATTTATTTTTTGGTTCAGTGATTATTTCCTTGACTGTGTCAAGCCTGCTTAATGAGTTTGTCAAAGGCATTCTTCATCTCTGTTACTGTATTTTCCATTTCTAGCATTTGTACTTGATTCTTTCTTAAAATTTTCAGCTTTCTGCAAAAATTATTCATCTAAGCTGGGCATGGTGGTACATGCCTGTAATCCCAACAATTTTAGCAAGATCCTAAGCAATTTAGCAAGACCCTGTCTCAAAATGAAAAGTAAAAATGGCCAGGATGTGGCTCAGTGGTTAAGCACCCTAGGTTCAATCCCCAGTACTAAATATATATATGTATATATGTATCTCCATCTGCTGATATATAGTATCCACTGTTTCCTCCTTTTAACATACTGGTCTGAGTTAAACACTCCAATTGCTCCAACATCTTTGTCATTTCTGAATCTGGTTCTCTTGTTTGCTTTGCCTCCTGATAGTATATTCTTTTTTCCTTTGCATCTTTGTACTGCATTACTATTTTTTGAAAGCCAGACATTTGTATAGGATAGTAAAGGTTCAGGGAAATAGCTGTATGTCTAAAAATAGCCACATATTTTCTTCTGTGAGACTTTTAATATGAGGGTTTGATTCATTTAATAATCAAACTAGGTTTGACTACTAAATGCTGCCATGATTAACCTTGATAAGCTACAGCTTCAGTTTCCTCTGTCTTGTGTTTAGGATGGGGATTGATTTACCAGGGTTTTCTCAGTGTCTGTTTTAACCTCAATATTAAGGTTTCCCTTCGTGCTCAGTCTTAATCACAAAGTGAGCTCTGTGTCCGTGAGTCTTAGGAGTTGCTTCACCCTTGGCTGTAGGTCTGCACCCATGATGTATTTCTGCCCTTTCTCCAGGGGTGGAGGCTTTTTTTCTGTTCCCTTTTCTAGCTGGCAGTGGATTTTCACCACAGCTCTAAAAGCAATAGGATTCATTGCCCTTCTCCTAGAGCTTGGAGGCTTTCGTTCTGTAGGAGAGGTGAAGAGGACCCAAAGAGAACCTTCTGCCCTTATCACAGCAGCCTTTGCTTTCTCAGGGCTATCACCCTGCCCCTTGCCTCTTCTGTGTGCACTCATTGAGGTCTTGGAGAAGTCTTGCAAATGGATGCAAAATTTCCCTTGTCTCTAGTAGTTCCCTATTGAGGCTGACCTACCATCAACCTTTGGCAATTTGCTAAAACTTCCTCTTACTAATATCTTCAGTGTCTATCCTAGGTTAAAAAAAAAAAAAAAAGTTTGCTGTCTTCCTCTCTCCTTGGAGGCACCAGTCCTAGATTGTGGGTTAGTTGGTTGCCCTTCAACCTCATTTCTCTGAAGGGTTCAAGAAAAGCTGGGATTTGCAGATTGTCCAGCCTGTCATTGTTGTTGTACAAACAACAGTCCTTTCCAGCTGTATGTCTAACTAGGAAGCTGGGAAACTTTTTTGTTGTTGTTTGTTTTAATTTGCATGGCATCAGCAGTGGGTACAGGGTGGGGGGAAAGGAAATAAGAGTCACTAAGAAAATATAGTACAGAGAAAAAAATACAAATAAAAAAATAAAACTGGGCTGGAGTCATGTATGGCTCAGTGGTAGAGCGCTTGCCTGGCATGTGTGAGGCACTGGGTTTGATTCTCAGAACCATAGATAGATAGATAGATAGATAGATAGATAGATAGATAGATAGATAGATAGAGAGATGGATGACAACAACTAAAAAATAAAAACAAAAAAGCTCTCCAATCCTGAATGCTATTCTTCTCACTTTCCCACCAGCAAAAAAGAAAAAAACCTACGCTTAGACTGTGGTTTAATGGCATTTAGCTTTGGGAGAGACCATCATCACTCCAAGAATAAATGACCTCATAGTATAATTTATACTTTTTCCCAGGCTAATTAAAAGCACTCTATTTCCAAAAAGCCCTATCTTGTTTATAAAAGAAGCTCATTTAATTGTGACTACTGAGTCTTCCCTCCTCAAACAAAAGGAAAAACCTTCTTTTCTGGAGGTTAATATTTTAGCAATTTTAGTTAGAAGGAAGAAAACTACCTAGTCAGTCAAATTGTATCTTTTATTTTAAATTTGCTTCAATATTATGTAATGTTTAGTGTCTGTATCTGAAGAAGAAAAGTAGGGGCTTATTAAAATAACTTGGACAGGACAGTAGATATCGCTCAGTAATAGAGCACTTGACTAACATTGGTTCAATCCCTAGTATTGGGGGGGAGGGGGAAGACATTTACTGCCTACTAGGTGTAGTTTACATTCTTCGTATATGAGATTTTTCAACAAAAGAAATCTTAGTAATATAATCACCCAAAGTGATAATGGGGTTATTGTTTGCTTGGTTTTCATTTTTTTCATTTTAGCAAAACAGCCTGCTTTCTAAAAAGTGAATTCAGGGTTTGCAAGTGTTTTCTTCTGTTGAATATGGCTTAATGACTGGAGGAGGCCACACCAATACTGTTGCTAGAGAAGCTTTGATTCCTCACCTCTGTGTGTCTGTGGTTCCCAGGGAAGGAAAATACAATCATGCAGCATGCTTTGGTCTTCAACCTGGCTGCCTTCTCCCTGATGGGAACCGGATGATGTCTGTGGCTGCCCTTGTGGTAAACTTCTCACAGCCAGTAGCAGGTCGCCCCTCTCTCCTGAGGCATGATGAGGTGAGGACTTACTTCCATGAATTTGGTCATGTCATGCATCAGATCTGTGCACAGGTGAGTAATTTCTTTACCAATTTCTTTTTTCTAGTCAATTAGTTGCTGTAATAATATAAACATGTGCAAGAATTTCGTAGGCCTGCAAAAACACAGTTTCCCTTATCACGCCCTCTTTCACAACCTAATTTTTCTCAGAGGTTAATCCACCAATGAAAGAGCTTTGTGAATACCCACTGTGGAGAAAGAAAGACGACCATCATTAGGAAGTGTTACAAATACTGTGCTCTTTTCTTTTAAGTTTTTTCTTCTCTGTAGGAATTTGCTGTAAACCTCACAGATAAATTGTGCTATAATCTGTCCCTTCTGCTTATTAACAGTTTTTTCAGTTTGATGGCTTTTAGTCCTCTCAGGCCCCTTTACTCCTCTCCTAATAATAAATGTTTGTAACAGCTCCCTTATTAGCCTCAAATTTGAATCATAGACAATATACTAAAACCATGCAGAGAATTTTCCAGGAAACATTTGTGTATGTGCAATGGATTAAAACTAATTTCTTTACTGCTGAAAATGAAAAGTACATTTATTTCAAAAAAGAAAAGTACATTTATCTCTAGGCCTGGGTTTCATCTCTAGCAATAATAATTATAATAATAATAAAGTATACTTATGATCAACTTTGCAATACAGTCCATTTAACTAAGCTCAAGCTATTCTGGTTAGAGCCTTCAGAACTTGCGAATGTTTAACTATTATTAACATGAAAAATCTTTGGTCAGATATTTAGCCTAATAGTTTAAATACACTGATAGTAACAGAAATGGAGGGACAGTTGTCTAAATTGGAATCTGTGTCTATAAAAATAAACTTTTTAAGATAACTTTTTTACTACAATCATTTATTTATTTATTTATTTATTATTTATTGGTACTGGAAATTGAACCCATGGGTGCTAACCACTGAGCCACATCCCCAGCCCTTTTTATTTTTATTTTATTGCTTAGAGCCTCAGTAAATTGCTGAGACTGGCCTTGATCTTGCAAACCTCCTGCCTTAGCCTCACCAGTTGCTGGGATTACAGGAGCATACCACCACACCCAGCTTATAATAGTTCTAAATTTACAAAAACGTTACAAAAATTGTCTATGTACTTCTTCCTGTTTCCCCTTAAACATGTTGCCTTACTGCAGTACATCTATCACAACTAAGAAGACAGTATTGTCACAGTATTCCTAATACCATGTTTTATTGGAATTTTACTAGATTTTCTCTAATAATCATTCTCTATACAGGGAGTCTTCCTAAATCATAGTACAATGTCCTCCTCATGAACACAAAAAATAATAATATTTTTGTTTTCCAACAGTTAATGCTTGGGTGTGACTATGCAGTAAAACATACTAAAGTATTGGAAGACTCATGTAAATAAACCCTGAATGGAGCAGCAACAACTATAGACAGAAGTATTTTGTGTTATCTGCATAAGTCCAAGAATGATGTTGCCTATGGTAACATGACATAGTTTTCTATGACAAACACCTCCTTGGAAACTCCTAAGAAAGAAAGTAATATAACTTGGATTTACACGGTGGATCCTAGTATTTGTACTCTTGGAAATTTAAATTGTGTAAAAAATGCTTTTCAAAATGTGTACAGTGGAGGGGCTGGGATTGTGGCTCAGTGGTAGAGCGCTCACCTAGCACGTGTGAGGCACTGGGTTCGATCCTCAGCACCACATAAAAATAAATAAAATAAAGGTATTGTGCCCAACTACAGATATATATATATGTATGTATTTTAATGTGTACAGTAGAGTTAGTTTTGAGGCTTGCCTAGTTAACAGTTTTTTGTTTTTATGAATCACTGGCAGGGAAACTTGAATAACAAGCAGAAAATGGAATATCTTAAGTTTGTTTTGTTCTCCTGGCCTGTGTGGGATCAGCTTTGGGCATTCTGTATCCTTAGCCCACAGAACAACCCCCATGTATTGTAATAATCAAGTATTCATCATTTCCCAAATACCATCACTTCTATTTGAAATGATTTAGTTCTCTCAACATCTTATCTTTATATATTAGTGCTTTCATCTTTTATTTAAAAAGCAGGGCTGAGGTATAGTACAGTGGTAGACTATGTGCTTACCACTCATCCCCAGCACCAAGCAAACAAACAACAATATTATAATTTAAATAAGTGGAAGAGAATAGGATAGAGGTCTATCCAGAAAAATAAGTCCTGATATAGCCAATTTTACCCTCTCTTTAACCCAGGAAAACTTTCAGTATAATCTAAACCTTCTTGCATAGATAATTTTAAAGTCTATTATCATGGCACTGGAGTTTCAGAAATAGTTATCATATGGAACTTCTATCAGTGTCCATTGTGTGGCTTGACATTTCCTTTAATTCTGATAACTCCAGGTTTCATTGTCTAAAATACTTTTATGAAACATCAAAACTTCTAAATTTTAGACTCATGGTATATTAGCTAGATTAGCTAAGATCCAATTATTTATTAGTACACATATAATGGTGTGCTTTTAAAAAGATGGATCCTCCTTTTTTTGGATTTGAAGACCCTATGAAAATCTGATTTAAGCCATGAGTACCCCTTCTACAAAAATGCAAACACCCTCAAGTACCCAGAATTATACACGGTGTTCTAAAGGCTCATGGACCCCTTGATATCCAGACTATAATGACTCCAAAGTTAAGAACTCCTGACATATAACAATCTCCTTCTGGATATTGATTATTGGCTAGAAGTTTCACAAGGAAGTAATTTGGTGTCTTAATCACATTCATTAAAATATATAGTATTCTTCAAACAGGATTTTTTATTGCTTTTGATGATTGTTCTTTTTGCAGGCATAGTTCTCTTATCTTAGTATCATATGCTTACCAGGTATTCATGGTACAGTTCTCCACAATTCTCATTATTTCTTACATTATTTTTTCCCTCTTTTGTGTGTATGGTGTGTGGGGGGATGCTGGGGATTTACCTCAGAAGTGCTCTACCACTGAGCTATACTCCCATCCATCTTTCTTTATTTATTTTTTTATTTTTAGACAGGGTCTTAGTAAGGCTAGCCTTGAACTTGCATCTTCCTGCCTTAGTCTCTCAAGTTGCTGGGATTACAGGTTACCACTGCGACCAGCTTCTTACATTATTTTGATCCTTTGAGATACCTACTTTAATGCTGGAAAATATTTTTAATTTGATATTATGACATTATTATGTTCACTCATGTGTCAAATAGCCCAAATGTCATAATATACATCATGTTCACCAGTTTGGTGTCTTTCACTTGAAACAGTAGACTGTATTCAATTCTGGAAGTTTTGCCGAATCTCATCCATGAGCACAGTTTGTGTCATATGATGAATAGTGTTTGGTACAATCCTTTGCTTGGTCATCTCTTCATGAGATTATCTTTGAAAAATCTTTTTGTCTATTCATTCTTTTAAATGTCATGTAATATTTTAAGAACTTTTTAGTAATCTTATTTAGAGTCAATGATCACTACTTTGGTTTTTTGTAGGCACAGATCCATATATTGACAGCTTAAATAATAAGTTTAAAACCTTTTGTTCTGACAAAATGGATGGTAATGAATAAGAAAAACCATAATTTTTATGTTCAGTAATACTGCTGACATCTGATAAATGTATAGTGAATAATAAATTTGCCATATGTATTCAGTACATCAGTTTTAGGACATGGTAGTTCACCATCTGAGTTCTCCACTGTGACAGATGTAATGACCAGAAGAAATCATTTGAGTTTGTCACAGCAATATTTAAATATGTTAGCAGGAACGTCCAGTTTTCAAACATGCAGATACGCTAGTTCAATGTGTCTGCTAGCTCATTTTTCAGGAGTTGAGTTTCATTCATATTTTCTTGAGTTTACACTGCAAGGTGGGTAATTTTGAAGATAACAACCAAGAGGAGATATCACAGGTATCTGTTCCTATTTCCTGATTTTATTGTGGTTTGGGCTCTCAGTAATCACTGGCCTTTGGAACTTCTGTAGAATAGAAGAAAATGCCTTTACTAATGTCCATTGTGGTGCCTTTGTTAGGTTGTGCATTAAGAGCAGTAATGAGCATGCCTGTAATCCCAGGAATTCAGGAGGCTGAGATAGGCTGAGGAAAGAGGATTACAAATTCAAGGTCAGCCTGGGCAATTTAGGTAGACCCTGTCTTGGAATAGAATTAAAAGGAAAAAAAAAAAAAGCGTTGGGGATATAGTTCAGTCATAGAGTGTTTTCCTAGCATGAATAAAGGCTGTGGGTTCAATCCCCAGTACTATGTTTTTTGAAAAACAACATAATGAGTTTTGAACTATAAAGATAATTTTTTTAAGGAAACATTAGGCTTCTTAACTAAACATGAGAGGGACAAACCATCAGAAAAACTTGGAATTATGTGATTTGAAATAATCTATAAGCTTGATCAAAAGACTAATAGTGCATCTTGGTGGTTTTTTGTTTGTTTGTTTTAGTTGTAGTTGGACACAATACCTTTATTTTATTTATTTTTATGTGGTGCTGAGGATCGAACCCAGGGCTTCGCACATGTGAGGCGAGCTTAAATGGTATTCTTCAGAGGGGCACACTGGTGTTATGACAAGAACACTGGATTAGCCTCCCATGGTGTCACGTACCAGTAGTCCCACTACTCTGGAGGTTGAGGCAGGAGGATCACAAGTTCAAGGTCACCTGAGCAATTTAGCAAGATCCTGTCTCAAAATAAAAAATAAAAAGGACTGGGGATGTAGCTCAGTAGTACAGTACCCAATTCTCAGTGCAAAAAAAAAAAAGAAGAGAAGAAAGAAAGAATACTAGATTTAAAAGCATCTGTACTTTGTGGGTCTACCTGTATAACTTTTGGCAAGTTATCTGACCACTTTGACCATCTTATTTTTCTTATTCATAAAATGGAACAACAGTGATTTTCTTATCTACTTACTTCATTTTGGGGGAAATTAAATAAATATGTGGAAAAGTACTTAGAAAAGCATAAGTATTTGAAGTATTCTCTTAAAAAATTTTATTTT